AGGGTCAACCAATTATTTTTGTGTGTTACCTCTAAACTTTTTTCTAGGCGAACCGATTTTGATGATTCTTTTTTCATTTAAAAGCTGGTTCTTCTCATGTGGTCCCTTAAAAATTTGATTAAGATAGCCTTTGAGTTATCCTTTATAATGCGTATTTAATTGGCTTCGAATAAATAGATGATGTTTTTATTTTATTTATATTGAAGTCAGTTTCACAATTTTTTAATTTTATCACTTGATAAAATTAAACATCCACAAAATTATTGGTGCGGTTATTATATTAAAACTAACTCCACCCATAAATTAAAATTTCAAGTTTCTAAGTCACAAAGAAGTTGCCTTAGTTTATAATGAATGAGTCAGTGAGTAATAAAAACGATGTTTATAAGACGTTCATAATTAAATAACTATAATAGGTTTATTTATATAATTCGCGATTCTGGGTTTTCATGGAGTCCTTAATTATACTTATGTATAAAATAGAAGCGTCTGCTGTAACATTGTAATGAATATCTTTTGTTAATTTCAGGGTTATTTGCGTGGTATTAAAACATTAACCATTTAAAAAAAATGCCCTTTGTTATAGGGCATTATTCTAATAAGGGTGACAAACGAGCACTCAGTTCACCTGATAGTAAGTGGATCCTGTGGTCCATAGACATCTACATTTATCCTCGATTAAGAATTAAAACGCAGATGCGTTGTCATCCCTGAGGACTAATGAATCCCAGTAAAAAGGGTCGCCGGATCTCTACACTCACCATACGAAACCTTAAGCAGCTATTTTACGCTGGTATTCTGTGAGAGCGTGTACCTTCCCCGGTCGAGCCGACCCATATGTGCTACAACCATAATGCAGCTGCAGCCTGGCTCTACCACGTATGAGTCCTTCTTTTATGGTCCTTCTATCTGTTCGGGCTAACCTCCGGAGTCACTGACCCAATTGTGATGAATATTTACAGATAGAGAGCAATGCCAGCAAGGATTTAGGACCGAAAAATTGATAAAATATACTATGGTGTTTAATTATCTTAAATCTAAATAAAGCCACATTAAAATAACCCATCTAGGTGAAGCCGGGACAGGTCGCTATAATAAAAGTAAGGATTTTGTGCGTGTGTGTGTGCGTGTGCGTGTGCGTGTGCGTGTGCGTGTGTGTGTGTGTGTGTGTGTGTGTGTGTGTGTGTGTGTGTGTGTGTGTGTGTGGTGTGTGTGTGTGGTGTGTGTGTGTGTGTGTGTGTGTGTGTGGGTGTGTGTGTGTATGTGGGGGGTATGGGGGGGTGTATTCGTAATGTAGCTCGATATGTTTCGTGTAAACTGTCGATGCGCGCCCTTTTATGGTTAACACTCTCCCGTGTCTAGATTTTACTTGTTGAATATAAAAAACACAATTTTTTTTTTATACCCCCCTCCACCCCCCCCCTTTGGTCTTTTTTTTTTTTTTTTTTTAAAAAAAAAAAAATTTTTTTTTAGGAAAAAAAAAGGGTAGCCCCATAGTTGAAGCCAGCATTTGTCAAAAAAATACACTCTTAGGTTTTTTGGACTAGTTGTATAATGATTGTTTCTGCGGAAAGCGGATTCTCTTCTATAATGGCAAGTGAAAAACGCAATGGGTGAACCCACACCAAATACAAAAATAAAATAAATAATAGCAACTGTTGGCAGCCACTATTCACTATAGCTTTTTGAAAACCAGTGTATACCTAATAGCAGATACCTTTCATGAATATCTTTAGAAAAATGATGAAAAACCCTCAGAGAAACCCTGACTCGAATCTTGGTCATTATTGCTCCATGATAACGCAATATCTCACACTGATCGAGAAACTATTCTAACATTACAAGCCCTGCGGTTAGTAAACATATTATCATAAACATATATCTTCAGTACTCACCAGACTTAGTCCCAATCAATTACAATTTTTTTCGCAATTTGGATAATTTCCTCCAAGGAAAAAAGATTTATACTCAGAAAGAGGTACAAAACGCCGTCTCTAACTTTCTAGAGAATAGATCCTCAGAGATCTATGGCAAAAGCATAAATAACCTTCTTTCGTAATGACAGAAATGTATAGATAACTAGCTTATACTCGCGGTTTAGCTCGCTTTAAATTAAAAGCTGACGAATTTTCTTATATTAAATATATTAAATTTAAGTGAAATTATTTTAACTGAAAATCTGCCGTGTAGAGGCATCGTAACAAAGTCATCCCGCGCGAGTCGTCAGAAGCGACGGAGGAAAATGAAAAATCAGATGAGCACCAACATACTGATAATAGTTCAAAATTATAGAAAAACTGAGGTCGCCTGCAAAGCGTGATAACAATGACTAACATCCCCCCTAAAAGGCCTTATATGGGGGAGACCAATCTTCAGCAGTGTATTTTTGATGTCCATAATGACTGTAACGATGTAAGACGCTCTACTCCACTACACTTCTATAAAGATCACAAAAACAAAATCCACTGCTGAAAATTTTCTTCTCCTTAGATTGCCCCATAGGAGGGATATATCTAAAAAACTTGGAGTGTTCTATAGACCTGCACAGTATTTCATGCCGGCACACCACTTACAAGGCAAGGCGTACTGTTCCCATCTCTGGGCCGGGTTCACCCATAGCCAGCTCCTTCCATTTGACCACATTCAGTGAAGAGCGGTTCGAATGATTGACAATCGAGTTCCTTCTGATCGGCTCGATTCACTGGCGCTACGAAGAGGTGTTGCATCCGTTTGAATTTTTTATCGCATTTACCAATGAGAGTGCTTTTAAGGAATTGTTTGGATTAATTCCTGCCTCTATATTTCACCAACGCACATCGCGATAAAACTCACGATACCATCCACACGTTTTGGATGCTTGCAATTCACTACTGTACAATTTACTAGGAGCTTAGAGTAGAGTCTTAATCGCACGACTTCTTTGTGAAATTGTTTACCACCGGCGATTTTATCAGACAGATAATACTTAGGGAACTGCAAGAAACAAACAAAAAAAAACACTTTTACAAAAGGCTGTCAACGCATCTGCCATCCCTCTGGTTCATAATCGGCGATCAATACTTACCATCACGTCAGCTGTATGCTCGTTTGCCCCACCTTCTATAAAAAAAAATTGTTACCATGTTTGCAATTTTTACTTTATTTGTTGTTATTACGAAGACGCTGTAGCCCATCTCCCAGTTTGTATTTCTCTGTTGCCACAACCACGAGACAATATAGGTTAATGGATATTCTGACACTACCACTGTGCGGTCAGGTCAGATCCAGGTTACGCTTGTTATAAAGAATTTAAAAACTTCACGGTATTTTCGAATTATTTCCGATTTAATGTTTGAAAGTAGTTTGATACGATGTAGTTCTTAATAATTAAAACAGGGAAGAACAGCTGTCGGATCTGTAAGAATTTACAGTAAAAACTAATAAAAACGTTAAAAAAAGTATAGCCTATATACGTCCCACTGCTGGGCACAGGTCTCCTCTTGTTTCTGAGAGGATTTTCGGACAAGGAAGTGTCCGCCGCGCTGCCACAATGCGTGTTGCCGAACTTCACATGTCTTCGAAATATTTCTTTTTTCTTATTTCTCAGACATGCTGGTTTTCTCTGGATCAGGACTTAAAATTACAATTAACATACAACATACTATAGCGTAACTTATTTTCATCTATGGTGTTGATTAAACGAAATATCCAATTGCAATGATATAAAGAAGAAATATATTAACTATATAAAATACTCACCATGATACATAGATATACTTATATTTGATGAGGAGATATACTTATCATTACAAACTATGTATGATAAAATGCATCCAAAACTTACTCGCAGGATTAATTTAAAAAAAAAGAATCATTGTGAATAATCTATGATAGATGATTTAGTGTATCAGAGACTTTTATGAATATATTGGTAAGAAGTCCAATATATTATTATAGTTAACCCAACACACGCCAAGAAATAAAATTTTATTGGTGAATTTTTAGTACGATGTATTAAAAATTTGCAAATTGGGATGGACTTAAATCTTTTTCAAAATAAAAATAGTCTATGTCCTATTCTAGTTTGTTGTCTACAAAATTACCAAGTTTTATCAAAAGTCGTTCTGTAGTTTTTACGTGATTGAGCTACAAACATACAAACAAACTTTCACATTTGTAATAATAGTAGGATGAATGTCAATTCTACGATAAATTAAATATATTGTTTATTTTTAGAAATAAAGAAGTGTAAAGTTTTTAATATAAGAGAATCAATATGTACTGTGCAATTGATACCTTACGTTCGTTTGTTGTCGCCGTATTAAAAAATCGGTCAACTGTACGACGATAGGGGAAGAGCAGGTAATGGGAGTCAGCGGGTAATGGTGATCATCTACTCATCTCCAAAACTAAACATCTGCGCGTCACGTAAATGATATGTACGCCCTGCTTCGTGCCCCTCACCACGGTTTCGAACGACTCCCACCAGTTACCACCACGCGTTTCGGAGTGATGATTGAATTTTATTTTTGCGTCTCGCCGATGTAAATTTTCATCGAAAGAAAACAAATGGTAAGTCTCGAATTTCATCATGTATCTAAATGAGACTTTTATATATAATTAGTCTGACATTCAAAATAGTAATGTACAGCCTTGGTTACCAAAATGGTTTTTTTTTCTGACTTTTTACTCATTAGTGTAGTTGCGGGCATTGGGAGTCAGGTGTCATCAGTCATTGCTGGCATAGTAAAGTAGTATAATGTACCTATGAACTTAATTTCTTACATATTATATACTGCATTATTGTTTTGTTTTTTGTAGATGCTGAAAGTACGGGTCAGAATTTCCGAAAAGACTTCCTTGTCTACCGGTAGTTTGGGAAAAGCTTTGCAGCTAATTGATCAACAAGGTTATTCCATTTCCAAATAATCCCGAACTATTTTCAGAAGAAAACTTTGTTGCTGCTGAAATTCTTCAACCGTAGTCTATTGCGGTTCAAGATTATAATGAATCCGTTTCAGCTGCTGCTACTTATGCAGTACATGATAATATAAGCTCGACGCCTTGCACATCAAAGCAAGCAGATCAATCATTTCCCGACACATCGAAAAAAGGCGACCTAAATGTTCTATCCACAGAACAAACCAAAGAAACCTCAAAGAAAGTGTCCACTTTACAAGAATTTATTAAGTTGCCAGAGAAAGCAGCATCTAACCTCAACAGGGCCGAAAGAAGCAGCACTCCACAGTTTTAACATCAACGCCAATCAAAAAAATACCTGGTTGATAAAGAAAATTATAATCGCTCATAGCTTACTGCATCACATGTTGGGGATGTGCATCCAAAACATATTTAATACAGATTGAGAGAGCACAGCGGGCAGTTTTAAAGGCAATGCTAGGAAAACCGTATACTCCACTGCAAGTGTATACGAAGATGCCGGAGTATTTGCTGTACGTCAACTCTTTGTGCTGAATACGTCTTTAGCAGTACATAAATACATATTATCTTCAAATGACCACAAACTACTGACAAATCGCAGGGTATATAAACTATCTATACCTTCTGTCAATACAAAATTTGCCTAACGTTTTGGCGACTTTATCAAAAGACAAATTTATAATAAAGTTGTCAAACACTGTAATATTATAAATAAAAAATATGGATCAGCAAAATTAATCATAAAGAAATGGTTGGTCACCCTATCATATGAGGAAACAGAAGAATTGTTAAAAACTGACTTTTGCTAATTCATGGTATTTGTGAAATTTTTAGGTAAGTATTGTTGTTGTCTTAATTTTATTTTATTTTTCTTTTTAAATGTAAATACGTATATAGTTAATACATTCCAGTTATATAAAACTTGGCCTGGTTGTTAAAGGTTTCTTTCTTTTTTTATGTTTTTAGATTTTGAGCATTAAGCAGTTCTTTTATTGCTATTTTGTGTAGATATATTAAGACAGATTATCTGATAAGATGTATAAAATAATGCCTTGTGAACTTTAGTCTCAGGTTTCCGCTTGCCTAGTGAGGAAACCAACAGATATTACCTTTTGTACATATTTTTCTGTTAATAAAACAATTTTCAATAACATTATAAAATCACAGCAAGAAAAATGGCTCACCTGGACTGCTCTGGGTGGGACTAAGTCAAAGATTATGTGTGCGAAATATGTTAAATTTTGTTTGACTCTAATTACCCACATGGTCAGTGTCGGTCAAATCCGTTATTTTTTTGAACTGTCATTATTTCCAAAGTTGATTGCCAAAATGATTAAAAATGATCTCAATTGATAGCTAAATAAGTAAATTTTGTTATTTTATAGTTTCAATAAAGATTTTATTGTGAAATAAGCTTTTATTTGAATTCTCGCTTAAGTAACTCCCATTACCCTCTTTTACCCTATCGTTTGAAAGCTAATCAATATTGTAAATACATTTATGATGTTTCATGTTCTCTTGACTGGTTATAATCACAGTACAATTCTCCAGTGAACCATTAGGACTTGCTTGTTGCTTGCTATCTGCACAGAATAAATAATGTTAAGGAACTAACTATCTGTGCGTGATGTTTGACGCTGCTGTGACTGTTAGTCATGGTTTTAGTGTATGTAGGTGTGTCCTTAATACATTAATTAAGAGGTTTAAAAGCAAAAGTAACTTTTTGTATTTTTTAAACTCTTAGTTAAACGCTTAGTTTAAAAATACAAAATAATAATATTAATAATATAATATTTGTAATATTATATAAACTGTCGTGGTGGGGAGAATTAGGAGTACCCTTAACCGACGAGCATGTATGCGTAGGTATATGGATATGAAGGAGGCGAGAGTGGTGTATCAGGATCGTGCCAAATGGAAGTCTGTAGTCTCTGCCTACCCCTCTGGGTGACAGGCGTGAGTGTTTATGTTTAAGTCACGCCACCAGGACAGCATAATAATGCTGTCGTGGTGGCGTGGCGGCGTAAAAGAAACTAGCATCCCATTTCGTCGTAGTATGCGACTGTAGGAAATTCCAGAAAAGCCCTCTTCTTATTATTTTATGTTATGTATGTGTATGTGTATTATTATTATATATGCATAATAATTATTATTACTATTTGTCTTAATTTTAAGATTTATTTAAGATTTTTCATTTACCTCCGGGAATGTTGTAAATCTTAGCTAAGATAGCAGTGGTGTACACGTACATGGTCGAGCTCTAATTGCTTTCGTATTGTGAGGGTGATAATTTGATTTAAAATTATCAGCTTTTTATTTCGCTTAATCGAGTCACCGATAGATTTGATGAACATTGATATTCTGTAATTGCTTAGAATATTTTTTTATAGGATAAAGGTGACAAAAGAACACACAGTCCACCTGATGGTACGTGGTTGCTGCGGTCCATAGAGATCAATCACGAATCAAAATGTAGATGCGTTATCACCCGTGAGGACTAAGACGGAATGGCTCTTTTCCAGTGAAAAGGGTCTCCGGTTCTTTACACTCACCATACGAAACACAGCAGCCTTAAGCTGCTATTTAACGCTGGTATTCTGTGAGAGCGTGGTCCTTCCTCGGTCGGGCCGACCCATTCGTGCTAAAACTATACAATTAATATAGCTGCAGCATGGCTCTACCACGTAACAGAATATATTAATCATTGTAAAAATGCTGCAAACATAAGCACAATTATAAAAAAGCAAAATTGCGTAACGTGTAGAGAGCTAGTATTATTGCAGGCTGTGAGGTATTCCACTTTAGCCCTCAGTTTTGAAGCCTCAAATTGTGAAGAAAAAAAAAAATTTAAAAAATTTCAAACATTCTGTCATTTTTATCTTTTAAATTCAGAATGCGTGATAATGCATTATTTTTTTATTTGTTTATTGCGTGGTAGAGTTATATTTGTAGTGTATTTGTAGCATGAATGGGTCAGCCGGGGAAGGACCACGCTCTCATAGGATACCAGCGTAAAATAGTAGCTTAATGCTGCTGTTTTTCGTACGGTAAGCGGAGACCCTTTTACTGGAAAGCATTCCATCCAGGCCACGCATGACAACGCATCTGCATTTGATTCGTAACCGAGGATAGATGTAGATGTCTATGAGCCACAGCAACCACTTACCATCAGGTGGACTGTGTGCTCGTTTGTCACCCTATCCTATACGAAAATAAAAAATTTATTGATTTTAGGGTAAAAGAGGGTAATGGGAGTCACTTAAGCGAGAATTCAAATAAAAGCTTATTTCACAATGAAATCTTTATTGAAACTATAAAATAACAAAATTTACTTATTTAGCTATCAATTGAGATCATTTTTAATTATTTTGGCAATCAACTTTGGAAATAATGACAGTTCAAAAAAATTACGGATTTGACTCCCATTGCACTGAAGTGAGGGCAAAAGTAGTCACCATGTGGGTAATTAGAGTCAAACAAAATTTAACATATTTCGCACACATAATCTTTGACTTAGTCCCACCCAGGGCAGTCCAGGTGAGCCATTTTTCTTGCTGTGATTTTATAATGTTATAGTTTTCTTTATCAACCAGGTATTTTTTTGATTGGCGTTGATGTTAAAACTATAGAGAGCTGCTTCTTTCGGCCCTGTTGAGGATAGATGCTGCTTTCTCTGGCAACTTAATAAATTCTTGTAAAGTGGACACTTTCTTTGGGGTTTCTTTGGTTTGTTCTGTGGATAAAATATTTAGGTCTCCTTTTTTCTATGTATCGGGAAATGATTGATCTGCTTGCTTTGATGTGCAAGGCTTCGAGCTTATATTACCATGTACTGCATAACTAGCAGCAGCTGAAACGGATTCATTATAATCTTGAACCGCAATAGACTACGATTGAAGAATTTCAGCAGCAACAAAGTTTTCTTCTGAAAATAGATCGGGATTAATTGGAAATGGAATAACCTTGTTGATCAATTAGCTGCAAAGCTTTTTCCAAACTACCGGTAGACAAGGAAGTCTTTTCGGAAATTCTGACCCGTACTTTCAGCATCTACAAAAAAAAAAAAAAAAAAAAAATGCAGTATGTAATATGTAGGAAATTAAGTCCATAGGTACATTATACTACTTTACTATGCCAGCAATGACTGATGACACCTGACTCCCAATGCCCGCAACTAAACTAATGATTAAAAAGTCAGAAAAAATATAGAAACCATTTTGGTAACCAAGGCTGTACATTACTATTTTGAATGTCAGACTAATCCATACTATCCATACTAATATTATAAATGCGAAAGTGTAGTTTGTTTGTTTGTTTGTCCTTCTTTCACGTCGCAACAGAGCATCGGCATGGCATGATTTTTGTATGGGGATAGTTCGGTAGAGTGACATTTCCGCGGAAAAACATCTCATTACCGTGGGAAAATAGAATATGTTGCAAAAGTTTGTCCTTCTTTCACGTCGCAACTAGTGTTGCCCAAATGCAAGAACAAGACGAGACTTAGCCATTCTTGGTCTTGCGCCAATACACCAGTCTGGTCTTGTTCTTGGTCTTGGTATTGCGCTCTCAGTATTGTTCTCGGTCTTGGTCTTGCAGCAAGAGTCTCGCAAGTCTCGCAATTACCTATTAGCCTATTGTTATTCATTAAACGTTACTTTAGATCTTAGAACAACTTAACAGACTAGGCACATTTTGAGCTTGAATTAACGTAGCCATAGAAAGACCAACCAAATTAATAAATGTCTAAACATTTAATGAGAAAATCGAAAAATCAACTAATACCGGGTGGGGTTTGAACCCACGACCTAAGAGATCCGTGCCGATGCTCTAACCAACTGAGCTGTCTACCAAGTCTCACGGCCACGGGAGTTAGTCTGTTTCTTAATAAACGTTTACATTTAATAAGCTTACATGTGCTAAAACTTAGTCAAAACATATAAAAAACAAATTAATGACATTAACTTGACTGTATTATAAAGAACATTATCTGTCTAGAAAGAGATTGATAGACCCTTATATGAAATCGAATAAAAGAGTTATACAATTTACCATTTATTTAAATAAAAAAAATAAAATACAATACAAATTAAATTACATAACAGTACGCAACAGCTTTGACATTACTGTTACTTTATATTAATTCTTTTGACCAAGAATTAATACAAAGTAACCATCTGGCTGACTCATCACTTAACCTATTTCTATGTTTTCTAATTACTAATGATGCTTTAGAAAATAATCTCTCAGCAGGTACTGAAGTTGCAGGTATTGAAAGAAAATCATGGGCCATCTTCGATAAAGTCGGATATTCTG